TATAAATTATTCCATCTTCCAGGCTATTTTTATGATTGCGTCATGTAAATGTAAGTCATAAATAATAACAATTGACAGGATGAAACATTCAATAATATCTCTCAGAAATTGAAGTCAAATCATACGATAGCTTGGGAAGTCATCGATGTTCTCCTCAGAATCGTGACAACCCCTAGTTTATCTTTTTTTGGATTCCTAAAATCAAAGTTCCAAATTTGAGCCATCCCCATTTGACACCTCTTTGTCCGATCTTTGAAAAGTCTTATCCTTTTGAATTCCTTGATGACAATATTTCCTGGTCTAGATCGAGAGTTTTCTTAAGTGACTTCAATTATGTAAGATGCAATTAACCATAAGGGCTTGCCCTTATAGGAAACTTTAAGAACCCATTTTAATAAAATCATGTTTAATTATTTAAATTAGATAGAGGAACTTGTCGGTCAATCAAAAAAATGTTTTTTTCGCAGACTAAAACTGATGTAAAACAGATGTCATAAATTCATTAATTTATTTAATCGAGCACCACCAACAAGTAGTGCATCTATCCTTCGAGGATGTGGCCTAAAAAGTGGGTAGTGAGATTGTAATAACAACTGCAACTAAGTAGACACGTGTCATAATTCTTTGGGATCATGTACATGATAATATCTATCTATTTTCTTTTTAATTTCATTGACATAATTGTCTATCAAAGTGGATGCCACATACTACTTTGTGCACTTGTACCTCACCCTAGGTGGCATATAGACAATTATATGAGCTTCAATCTATATTGGCGACCGATAGATTTGTTTATATATTTTCTTCAATTAGTGTAATAAACAATGAGTTGGATCTAGTGTCTCACCTTTTATAACTATAGCATTATGGCCATAAGATTTATGCTTTTGTTGTTGCCTATGTGAAGATCCTCTAGTTTCTACAACAAAGAATTCCATGGCAAGCATGCCATCTTTATTCGAATAAAAGTCTGCCAATTGATGGATCATTTGATGGATCATTATGCTCTTATTCTTCTTAGCTGCTTCTTCTTCCTCAATGGTCCTTATGTTAGCTCTTAATTCTTTGATTATCTTCTGAACAGATCTACTAGGAATTAAATGGGGATTAACTGGGATGCTACTCATAACTATAAACCTCTGAGAGTATTCTTATTTTTATATTTTTACTCATGCATTTTATTTCAACTATTTGTACTTCAACTTTCTCTTATTCTTTTTCTTCACTATTTTTTGGTTGTACAATCAACTATAAAATTCTATGTAGTTGTGGGTGGGACTGTTAACTAGGTTTGCCATACCTTCTTAACAAAAATGGTTGAGTTGGAGACTACAATCTAATATCATTTGGATTAGAAGATTGTGATGATAATCAATGAGGAGCTAAGTAAACATTCTTAAAGACTTCTCCATAGATGACCATCCCCAAAACTTTAGTGAAATAGTGGAAATGGTAATCTCACTACGAGAATGTGGCCTAAAAAGTGGGTAGTGAGATTGTAATAAGAACCGCGACTAAGTAGACACATGTCATAATTCTTTGGGATCATGTACATGATAGTATCTATCTATTTTCTTTCTAATTTCATTGACATAATTGTCTATCAAAGTGGATGCCACATACTACTTTGTGCACTTGTACCTCACCCTAGGTGGCATATAGACAATTATATGAGCTTCAACCTCTAAATAATCATACCCTTTATTTTTCATATAATTTGTAAGATGTGAAACTCTCACCAACCATTTTTTAAAATAATTTTCTTAAAGGTACAAAAGATTATCCTATGTTACCTACTTTCTCAGAGATTATTCATGGTTGAAATAACATTGAGGTGATAAGATAATTTTATGAACATCCTCCTCCCCCTACCGCTCCCCCCCAAGTAGTAGAGAAAGAGTGAACCCTATTGCCACCTAGCAGTGCATAGGTCTCAAGAAGGACATCCTTAGCAACAATTTTATAAACTTCATTTTCTTTTTATTCTTCATTATTCTAACATATATCTTTCAATTTCTTCTCTTATTGATTTTGTTATATGTTTTCGTTAACAATGCAACCTTGGAGGCTGATCTTACTTTAAATGTGACTAGAACTACATGTTGTTTAGATTCAGCTTCAATAATGACTGGCTACTTCAAATTCTTCTTTTAAGAGTATCTCATCTTGAAGAATACCAAGGGTCTAGGGACTAGCGAGGGAGTAGGAGCTTCCATCACCATTCTTTTTAATTGTGGGTAGGGGTGTAAACGAGCTTAACACGAGCATACGCAGGCTCAGCTCATGTTCGGCTCGTTAAAAAATATCACTGTTCGTATTCGGTTTGTTTGCTTAGCGAGCTGAACATGAGTTATTCGAAAGAATTTGAAATGGCCTCGCCCGATAGCGACTAGATTCACCAAGAGCGAGGCATAATTCATCATAGCAACAAATCTCACCGGATACCTCACATAGGCAACCACAAGATTCACCTAAGACCTTGCAAATAGGGGTTTTCAGCTGAAACGACGAACCAACCAAATAGACGATACGTAGGCCCCAAAAAAAAATTTACTCATCAGTCGACCAACCGACCGACCGAAGCGCAAACTTAAGCCTCTAATAGCGATTGGACGACTGACCTGCATTTTCCACGGCGGACGAGATCTTAGTTTGACCGAACCCCTTGGCCGACTAAACACATGGCACAATCGTCACCCAGTCAATCGCCTTAATCGGCCTCATTCTAGCGAATCGATCAACAAATTACCGTCATATCAAAATTCAAATTGTAATTCAAATATGAAATGAAATTCATACAATTTATTAGAACATTAATCATATTATGAACAATTTCCATAACCATTCTCCTTTAATTGTACAAAATGCTTTCTTATAAAGAAGAGATAAAAGGATGACCAAAGGGAGGCAGACCATTTATACTCTCCCCTGGTTCTCTCCACATTAACTCTTGGTTCACTTTATTCTCTCATTCCCTCAAATCTAACTCTCAAGGCGTATTCACAAGACAATCTGGGATCCAACAATCAACAACTATCTTAGGATCGACTTTGGTGAACATAGAATTGTTGAGTCATTAGAAGTTTCTCTATTATCAGTTTATATTTGGTTATGTTTTGTCAACAAGATGCAACAACTCAAAGACCAAAATGAGGCCATCTCAAATGAGAAAATGTGCATATATGACATCCTCATAGAATTATACCACATGCATAATGTTAGTCTCTTAAAAAAATTAGTTTTTATCTGGTATAACCCATTTCAATAATTCATATCTTTTAAACTTAGATTAAAAATTTTAGCCCATGACCTGATACATGCATACAAAGCTATGAAATAAACATGTAACTTTAATATTTGTTGAGATAAGATTGATTTTGGGCATTTAATTTTAATTACTAACCTGATCAAGTGTAATTTGTGAATTTAATAGTCTCATTGAAGTTAGGTTCAATTAAGTGTCAAAGTTAGGAGATTTGATTTAGCGGATTCTGATTAAATTTGCCAAACTTAAGCCCATAAAAAACATTTCAACATTTTGAGATTAATTTAAAATTGACTGAAGAAATTTTGGGCACAACTTATCAAATTTAGGTATGAATATAGGTCCTAAAATCTTAAATTTTAAAGAATTTGATTAATTTTGTAATTAAGTTTTTTTTATAAGTATAAATTTGTTCTAAAATAAAAATTTATTTTAAGTAGTGCAACATGAAATGTTATGAAATCTGAATTTAGATATTGGTAACACTAATTCATGACTGAAATGGATAAGATAATCAACAAAAGAAAGGAAGTCTAGCTTAAAAGCGAGTTGTTTATGGGATCACTCCTCTTTGGAATTCAAAAGCCTCTCTCTCTCTCTCCCTCCAATTTTTTTCCTCAAGAGCCCATGACGACCACCTTCATTTATAGCTTGGGTGTGTGGGTGTGGGTACGGGTGTGCGAGATAATTCCCATTCAAATCAATTGCAAAGAATAGAATGTCAAATACATGAAAGTTGGATTTTGGAAAAAGTGGGTTGTTCTTCAAAAGAAATTAGAATAATGAGGGTATTTGTCCAAAGGAAAAAAGAAATTAAAGAAGTGTATAATTCCACTGTCATCTATCGTATACATAACAAAATGTGAAGCAATAGAATGTCAAAGACATTTGTTAAAGAAAAAAAATATTTGTGTGTGAATATTACATCAGAAGTTCTATTGCAAAAATATATTAGGACTCGAACCACTGTTCCCTATCAGGACTCTTGATGTAATATTTATTGTGTGTGTGTGGGCGCACGCGTGTAATAAGATACACTAAAAAAGCATATAATAATAAAATAATTATGTGATTGATAGTGAATCCTAAAACACTATTGATACTAAATTAAAATATATCACTTTTAAATAAATAAACCATTCTAATAAATTAATATACAACAGTCTAGCATAATATCAAATCTTTATTGAGTTACTCATTCAACAACAAATAAATTTATTTCTAAAAATAAAAGAATGAGTTAGGAATATGTTCCTTCATCTTTTAAAAGTCATTCAAACTTAGTTTAATAGATGACTTCAAGATATTAACGAATTTTAAGTTAAATCACTGATTGTCAAGAATCCTAAGCTCTGCACAAGTTTCAAAAAAGCTCACACAATTTACTCATGCTTCTATTCAGGGCAAAACAGCCACGCAAAACCTCGCAAAGCAAATAAAGAAGAATGAAATGGTGGGCAACACTGTTACTCTCTCGTTCTGGAATTCTTCACTCAACCAAAGACTATTCCTGCAACGAGAAAATATTACATCAGGACTCCTCACGTAATTTATGTCAGGAGTTTAATGGTGGGGCATCACGTGCCAAGTGGGTCCCACTGCAAGCCCACTTGACACGTGGTTCCCCCATCATTGGACTCCAAATGCATCCGAAGTCCTGATGTAAGAGCATAAAAAACTAGCATCCTGCATTCCTATGATTGCATCACGGCAATCAAAACTAATTGATTAAGAGTAAGGAAAAAATTCCATATGCTGAAAACTTGGGCCATATTTTGATATGTTTTTGCTCACAAAGTCGACTGAGAAACAAACATATTTATTTAAACGGTATCAAAGACCCTGGACACAAAAGCTTAAGATGGCAGATTTACCTCCTTCAATTCCAACTTCCATCTCTTCCCTGCGCCATTAGCCAAATGATGGATTCCATGCTCCGGTCCACTTATATAAGCCCTGTTCTCCCTCTCCTTCTCAAATGAGACTCCGAATTTCTTCTCGACGCCTGGAGAACCAAACGTCGCGTTAGGGAAGCAGATAAGAGATTCAAAGCATGATAGAGAAAAGTGCACGCATGGGAGTAGAAAATTACCATGTATTGACAGGCTTCAATTAAGGGATTACTTCTAGACAAATGTGTATATAGTTTCTTATTAGCATTCTTTTCATACTGAGAATTATTTACTGAGACATGCTCTAAGAAGGATAAACAGGTGCAGGAAGAATATTACAATAGAGGTTGGGCTTATTTTTTTTACCAACGTTAAATGGTTGTTTCTAGGATTTAACTCATGTACGATTTAGTAAATACTGTAAATCCAGATTAGTAAAACCAAGAGTCTTTTTGGCATAAGATTTGGTAAACCCCTATGTAACGGCTTGACAGCTAATTCAATAACAACAACACGCCTTTATCCCACTAAGTAGGGTCGGCTGCATGAATCTTTTTTTTTCATTGTGTTCTATTGAGTATCATATCTTCATTTAATTCTAATAAACTAAGATCATTTTTTATACAATATGCCCAAGTCATTCTAGGTCTAACTCTGTCTTTCTTAACATAAGTTTAATCTAAAGCATCTACTCTCCTAACTGGATCATCAGATGGTCGAAAGCTTAATGTGACAAAATCATCTAAGACGACTCTCTAATTTTGACCACCATTGGAGTTACACCAACCCTATCACAGATATATTCATCTCACATTTTGTCTCTAAATGTAAAGTCATTCATCCACCTAACTATTCTCATCTCGAAAACACTTAAAATAGGTTTATGCTTTTAGAGGCCAACATTCTGTAGCATAGAGCATTGCAGGTCTCACCACCTTTTTTAAAAATTTCCCTCAGTCCAAAGCGGTACTTTCCTATCACACAATAGGCATGAAGCATTCCTCCACTTCAACCAAACAACTTGAATTCTACTAATAACATCCCCACCTACATCACCATCTCTTTGAACAATAGGCCTGTCATATCTAAAGCGTTCACACCTTTTAAAGATTTAAACACTCAAGGTTACAACTCTGTCACTAGAGCTACTACTGCTAAAATTACATTCCATGTATTCAGTTTTAGTTCTACTCAAACAAAGGCATTTAGATTCCAATGTAGAACTCCATAATTCAAGTTTTTCCTGAACTCTTTCTCTAGTCTTATCCACAACAAGGATATCATCAGCAAAAAGCATACACCAAGGTACATCCTCCTATAAATGTCTAGTAAGAGCGTCCATAACTAAAGCAAAAAAAGATGGGCTTACAGCAGATGTAATCCAACTAAAATAGAAAAATATTTGGTCAATCCTCCTTCTGTTCAACCACAAGTAACAGCTCTAGCATATATATCTTTAATGACTTGAATATAAGTCATATAAATATCTTTCTTCTCTATAACTCTCCAAAGGATATCTCTTAGAACCTTATCGGAAACTTTTTCTAAAACAATAAAAACTATATGTAGATCTTCTTTATTCTCTCTATACTTCTCCATCAAACCTCTCAATAAATGTATAGCTTCCATAGTAGGCATATTCGGTATAAATCCAAACTCATTATGTGAAATCTTTGTAAAACGCCTTAACCTATGTTCAATTACCCACTCTTATAATTTTAAATCATGACATGTCTACTTAATTCCCCTATAAATTATACACACTTGTGCATGCCTTTATTCTTAAAAATGAGGAGCAAAATATTCTTCCTCCACTCGGGCATCTTTTAGTTTCTAAAATAATATTAAAGAGTTTAGTAACCGAAGAAACTCTCAAATCTCCTAAATATTTTCACACTTCAATTGGGATATCATCAGGTCCTACAACCTTTCCGTCTTTGGGTTCCTTTAAATCCTCAAAAACTTTTTTTTTACTATTGCGACAGTAAAAATGAAATATTTTATTATTATTAACAATATTAAGATCACTAAGGTCAATCGTATTTCATAAACTTCATTAGAAAGTTTATCAAAATAAATTAACCGACTATGTTAAATATCTTTTTTTTAAGAAAAATATTTTTTAATTTTCATCTTTAATACACTTTAATTGAGATAAATTTTACTTTTCTTTCCTCTTTGTTTGGCTATTTTATGTATATATTCTTCACCCCCTTTAATATCTAATATATTATAAAGATCATTAAAAGCATAATTTTTAGCGTTATAGATTGTGCTTTTAGACTCCTTACAGATCACTTTATATTTTTCACAATTTTGTATGTTTTTGCATTTTAACTAATTTTTATAACACAACTTCTTATATTTTATCTTTTCTTGTACATTATTATTCCACAACCACATTTTTATTTATAGAAAATTTTCCTTTTGATTCTCCAAGTATAAATTTATTATTTGTTTAATTATATTTGTTATTTTATCCTATATAAAATTTGTTTCTTCATTAACATTCCAAATTTTGAAATTTGAAGTTTATTAATAAAAATAATTTTATTTATTTTTTAGGTGCACCAATCTAATTCCTTAACAATGATTTCTAATATTCTTTATTTTACAACCCTTAATCTTAAAATTCAGAACTAATAATCGATGTTGAGCACTTAAATTCTCACTGAGAATTGCCTTACAATCTTTATATTCCCGACGATTTCTTCTTCTCGTAAGAAAATAATCAGTTTGTGTTGTATTAGATTCATTCTAATAAGTAATAAAATACTCACATCCTTCCTTGAATAAAGTACTAACAATAATAAAATCACACGCTGAAGCAAAATCTAATATTACTCTACTTTCTGTATTCATCACTTCAAAACCGTAGCCACCATGAATATTTTTAAAATCTTTCAACACTCTACCGACATGTCCATTTAAATCTCTAATAAAATTTTTTTATTCAAGTGGTATCATTTGTATTAATTTTACTAGTTCATTCCAGAATTTTTCTTTAGAACCTATATCTAAATCTACTTGAGAGCATAAATACTTATAATATTAAATATTCTAGTATCAACAATAATCTCCAATTCTATAAATTTTTACAACATTATCTTTCAAACTTATTCTATAACTACATCTACACCATTTCTAATGCGACTCCTATCTGATAAGCTTTTCTTCAACCCATTTAGTTTTTTGAATACATAAAATATTTATCTTTCTATGAACCATAATATCAACTAATTTGATTAATTTACCTGTGAGAGTCTATATTTCAAGATCTTATCCTAATATTAGTATCAAACTTCTTTACTAGCATCAGTCTGTAATGTGAGAATCTTGCTTATTAGAAACTACACTCAAGCACAGGTGTAGCGACCCTTGCACACTTTTCATTGTATTCAGGTCATACCGTGTGTCGTCTTCAAGAGACGCCCTAACATTTGCACAAGGAATAAAAGTATTCATGTCATGATTTCTAAAAAAAATTTATGTTGGTTGTCGACTCCCTAATGCAACTCTCAACTTTTCACATTTGGAGCTTGAGACCCAGCAATGAGTGTTAAAACTTCACAACTAATTCAAGGATATAAAACTATTAATCGCTTAAATTAATTTACTATTATCTATGATTAAATTAATAAACATTTTTTTATTTAAATTAATTAATATGAAATAAATTATTAGACTAATTATCAAAGTTATTAAAACACGAGTAGACCATCTGATTTGACTGTGAACCCGTCATATTGCCAATCTAGTAAACCTTAGAAACTGCTACAACAACAAACCAATGGGAACCAATTAGAACCATTGGATGCATGAACAGTTGAACCATACCCAATTTTCAAAAACCTCTTATTCAATTTTTATAATTTTAATCAACATTAATTAGTGATCAAATATTTGCAAATGCACAAAGTTTATCCAATTTATAGTATACTATATTAATTTTCTTAAAAAAAATAATATGTTACTAATCCTTTACATGATAGGAAAATCTAACCAACGTAAGAAACTAAATAATAATATGTTCAAAAAGTAACCTACAAAATCCAATTATGAATTTCTTTCTTCTCTATTTAAAGTTCACAATATCAACTCTCCCCTATGATGTTAAATTACAAGAACTACATGAATGGCTAAAGAAAAAGGAAATTGCAGTGTTGAGAATTGGGGTGAGCTGTGATGATTGGTCGGTTGAAATTTATCAACATATTATGAGCTTACTTATACATATAATTTCATATAAAACCCCTTTTTTTAATATATATATATATTACTCATTCAA